TATATATATATATATATATATATTCAGATAAAAATAAACAAATAAATAAAATATATATATATATATATATATATATATATATATGTGTGTGTGTGTGTGTGTGGGTGTGTGTGTGTGTGAGTGTGTGTGAGTGTGTTTGTGTGTGTAATAGTTCATCTTCAGTAGTTACAAGTGACATCTTCTGATTTTTATTGGTCTTGAAAGTTGAGGCTGTCCATTGTTAAAAAAAGTTATAATAGTCAATGATCAACATTAGAAGAAACAGTTGGATTCTGTTGTGCTGTTGCTTGTTATGTTACCTTACGATGAGTTTTGATTTTTTTATTATTCTTTAAATAATCAAAATCTGACAAACGCAGAAACTGTTACAGCATGCAAGGTAATAGTATAAAATGATAACGAAAAACAACTAACGAGAAAAAATGTTTGAGCATGTAAGTATGGAGAGTAAAACAAAGTAATGGCTCAAAAGAGAATTAATCAAAATAAGTAATCAATAGACTAGTTAATGACTTATAAGTAAGGTAAGTGATCGGTAAGAAAAAAGAATAGAAAAGATTGAGTAAATGACGAAGTTTTATTGAGTACTGATATATTTAAGGTGTCTTGTGATGAAGATCAGCTTTATTATGTTATGCTACGTTGTGATTTGTGTGATATGTTAGTTAGTTATGTCATGTGTTACGTTGAGTTATGCTTGTTGTGTTGTGTTATATGTTGGAAGAAGCATACACAACACACCCATTGTTATGATAACGGAAGCAAGCATCATTGTTCGTTCTTCTTGAAATCATTAAGATTAGTTATCAGCAGATCATCACGTTAAATAACTGCATGTGTGTGTACGAGAAAGAGTACTTTTACTACATAACAACTTACTGAACAAATAACACATGTGTTTGGCTTTTAATATGGCGTTGCATGGCAGTTAAATTTCGCCTGTACATGCGTCAGTGATTATTATGTCTACACATTTCATTCTATATATTATATATATATATATATATTTATAAGTTACTACGGACAAGTTATGTATATAAATATGTGTGTGTGTGTTGTGTGTGTGTGTGTGTGTGTGTGTGTGTGTGTGTGTGTGTGTGTGTGTGTGTGTGTGTGTATGTGTTGGAGGAAGATCATATCTTATACAGTATTGTATGAATTCTACCAAATCGTTGGCATTAATCAATTTAAATTTGTCTTTTCAATTTTTCTTACTAGTAACAATTTGGTAGAATTCATACAATACTGTATATATATATATATATATATATATATATATATATATATATATATATAAGTCGGTAGATTTCATAAATACTGCATTAATCATGGTCTTTTACCTATATTGTATTGTGTGAATTCTACCAAGTTGTTACTAGTAAGATCAATTGAAAAGACAAATTTAAATTGATTAATGGTCTTATTCCAACATACACACACTCCCGTACAAAATTGTTTTTAATACGTTGAGATCTTAAGAAACCTTTAAAAACATATCATCCTCACTATTTCAACACACGCTAATATCTTGAAAGTGCTTGATAATGCAAAACCAATTAAGCCGAAGCACTCAACAACAATGCTATCCAACCATCATATCCAACCAACATATCCACTCACTCAACCGCACATCTTTGCATTCCCTCTCCAATTCACTCAATCATCCAACAATTCACCACCATGCATCAACATATCCACATGTTTACCTATGTTTACACATATGGTTGGCTAATTAGTTTCATACTCTAACTTGTGCGTGTGTTTGTTTGTGTACCTGTCAGCCAGTTTCAAGATAACTATGTACACAATTACACATACACGCACATGCACACACAAACAGATATATATATATATATATATATATAGATAGATATATATATATATATATATATATATTGTATGAATTTTACGGAATTGTTGGCATTAATCAGTTTAAAATGTGACTTCTCAATTTTCCTTACAAAAATTTTCTGGAAAATGTTCAATTTATTGAAAATAAAATTATCCAAGTTCATCATGAAAATTTAATGAAGCTGTTGTTATCCGAATTCATCAGGCAGATAAGGCCTTATTTCGATTTTTCATAAATCATCTCCATTGCATGTTTAGTTTATATAGTTTCTTTAAACAATGCAAAGTTTTTCAGCAAAGTTTATTAGTTGGTATTTTATTTTTTGTCTTTGTTGTTGCCATTTCCTTATTTTTCATTGTTATTGAAGTTAGTTTTAAAGCGTCGAGTTGGTAATGATATTATCATTTTTTGTTGGATGTTTATTTGAGGTTTATTGATATCTATTAGGAGAGCTTCTGCAATTTTTAGATGTTTTAGAGGTGTTTTTTCAATAACAATGAAGGACAAAGGAATGACAACAGCAAAGATAAAAAATACGATACCAGCTGATAAACTTTGCAGAAGAACTTTGCATTGTTTAAACAAACTATATAAACCAAACGAGAACCGAAGATGATTTTTGAAAAATCGAAATAAGGCCTTATCTGCATGATGAATTTGGATGACAACAGTTTCAATAAATTTTCTTGATGAACTTGGATAATTTTATTTTCAATAAATTGAACAATTTCCAAAAAATCTAGCAAGGGAAACTGAAAAGACAAACTTTAAATTGATATATATATATATATATATATATATATATATATATATATATATATATATATATATATATATATATATATATATATATTGTAAGCGTCGAAAATAATAGAGGAAAAAATTACCTATTATATCGGAAATGTCAGTACATGCAACAAAAATATAATTGAGGACCATCTGAAACAAAACAACATAGCTTTTCTACAATGCTTTCCTGTACTCCGTAAGAAAAATCCGGATGATCCTTTGGTAGAGAAAAGTCAAACTACGGAATTGACGGCTTTCAAAATTATAATACCTTTGAATGAACGTGAGAAACAGGTTAATCCTGACATATGGCCCATGCACACGTTCTTGCGCGAGTGGGATTACAACATGTCAGCAAGTAAGAAGAAAGATGGAAACTTTCGGCCAACAACAATCAACATCAATCATGGAGGCAACAGCTGATAACTATCCATTAAACTCTGTTTTTAAAGATTATAAGTATTTTACATCTGAAATTATTATCAATAACTTAATCAAACCTCAATTACATTTAGTTCAAAACAATATATCGATTTTGCATATAAATGCGCGTAGCTTAATTAATAAAATGTCAGCACTTAACATATTATCTGATCAATTTTATAACTTTTTTTGATATTATTGTGATAAGTGAAACTTGGTTGAATGAAAATACGGCTGATTGCATAAACTTACCTGATTATAAATTTATATATAAAAATAGAGATGTTGGACAGGGTGGTGGAGTTGGTATATTTGTAAAAAGTGGTTTTGATTGCTCTGTTTGTGATGATAGTGTACTTAATGATGAATATGTAGACATGTTATGCATAAATATAAAATCAAATTTTTTCTACAAGTCAACAAATGTGATTGCCTTGTATCGTCCGCCAGACATTAATTTTAATTATTTTTTAAATAAACTTGAACTGGTTTTGGGTGCGCTAAAGCCAACTCAACAATCTTATATTGTTGGCGACTTTAACACTGACTTGCTAAACGTAAACTCACAAAACATAATAATGTTTGAAAATTTATTGTCCTCTTATGGTTATATTCCGCTAATAGAATCTCCTACTCGTGTAACTCCTTCTACAGCGTCACTAATTGACAATATATTCACAAATTCGTCTGAATCTTTTAATAGTGGAGTAATCATCTCAGACTTCTCCGATCACTTTTTTATATACTCAATATCTAATAATCCAAATCTGCTAAACCGTTCTCATCAACTTCTTAATAAGCGAAATTTAAGTAAAAAAACTGTAAATCAAATTAAAACCCATCTTGCAGCAGCTGACTGGACTCCTTTAATGAATGATCGTAATCTCGATAATGCTTGCTTATCCTTCTACAACATAATTAATAACTCACTTGAACTGTTTGCTCCTTTCCAAACTTATAAACCTAGAAACAAAAAATCATGGATAACAATTGATATTTTAAAAATGTCGAATAAACAGTATAAATTGTACAAGAAATATCTACTTAATCCGACAACTGAAAATTTAAATAAATATAAACTGTTCAGAAACAAATTTACAACATTTAAACGACATAACGAAAATAAATATTTTAATAAAAAGTTCCTAGACGCCAAAAATGATGCAAAGAAAAAATGGAATATCATAAAAAATATACTTAATAGAAAAAAGAATACATTTAGCATAAGTAGCATAAAAATTGATAATAATTTAATAGAAAATAAAAAAGAAATAAATGATGAATTTAACAACTACTACATCAACATTGCCAAAACTTTATTGGATAATCAAAATAAACCCAAACATTATCATGAGAAATTTAAAATTGCAAATTCAATATGTCAATCCATCTTTTTAAGACCAGTTGATGAAATAGAAATTTTAAATATAGTTAAAAATATGAAAAACAAAACAAGTATTTCTCAGGATAACTTAAGTAATTACTTAATCAAACAGATGATTAATGAAATAATAAAGCCTTTAACATACATATACAAACTTTCTTTCTCACAGGGCTACTTTCCTCAATGCTTTAAGACCGCTAAAGTAATACCAGTTTACAAAAAAGGAGATCGGTTAGATATATCTAACTACCGCCCTGTTTCTCTTCTCTTGCCTATTTCAAAAATTATAGAACAATTGATGTGC